TATTAGCTCTGTTGCTGTTTCAGAGAGAGGGTGGCTCAGGACCACTTGGGTAGATCTAATTATGCCTGTTTCCAAATCAGAAAGTTGACTATAATCAAATAGCTTTGACTGAGCTAGATGAAGGCATTCCAGAAATGACTTCTGGTGGTGGTGGTGGTGATTTTAGTATCCATTATTTAGGTAGAACCATGGAAAAATCTGTAAGACACCAGAATACTGTCTGAAAACTTGCAATAAGAAATTTAGTAAAATCAATGTTTCACTTGCTGAAAAAAGTTGAGAAACATCTTGAATGCTGACAAGTATGTTATATTCCTTCTTCAAAGAAATGTCTCTCCTGCCTTTCAATTCAGAAATACTTATTAAAGCAAGTAGCTGGAAGTTGTAGATCTAAAGGTTTATTCAAAAGGACCTTGACTTGCAGGAGAAATGGGCCATCAGGAACCTCATAAAGGTCAACAAAAGCAAATTCAGCATCCTGCTTCTGGGATGGAATAACCCCATACAACAGTGCAGGTGGGGACAGCGGTTTCTTTCTAAGCAGCTTTCCAGAAAAGGACCTGGGTAGGGGCAGATGGTTCTCGCAGACAGCGAGTTGAACCCTATTCAGCAGTGTGCCCTTGTGATAAGGAACACTGTCAGCACTCTGGGCTGTTTCAGCAAGTGAGTCACCAGCAGGTTGAGAGCAGTGGTTGTTACCCCCTGTTCAGCACTTGTGAGCCTGCCTTGGGAGGGCTGTGTCCAGCTTTGGGCTCCCTGGTGCAAGACAGGCATGGACATTCTGGAGGGAGTCCAGTGGAGGGTCACCAAGATGGCCAGGGTGCTGGAGCACACGATGTAGGAGGGGAGGCAGAGAGAGCTGGGCTTGTTCAGCTTTAACAAGAGACGGCTGAAGGGGTATCGTGCTGCAGTCTGCAACTACCAGATGGGAGAGTATGGGGAAGCCAGGGCCAGGCTCTGCTTGGAGGTACGTAGCGACAGGACAGGAGGCAACAGGCACCAGGGAAATTGCAATTACACGTTAGGGGAAGAAAAGCTTCACCATGAGGGTGGTCACACAGAAACGGGGCCTGGAGCAGTTGTGGAAGATGTTCAGAACTCAACCTGGCAGGGCCCTGAGCAACCAGCTCCATGTTGGCCCTGTTCCGAGTAGGGGCTTAAACCAGATGATCTCCAGAGGTCCTGGGGATAAGAGGATGGCAGTATTACATAACTTGCCCTGCCTTTTCACCTGACCTTGTTCACTGGACTGCACTCAGTCGTAGAGTCGCTACTTCATGTTTTTTTCTGATACAAGTTTTAGACAGCTGGTCTAAAAGGAAAAAAAACTTCCCTCACACCAACTATTTTCTTGAAGGACTATCATTCTTTGGGTGAGTGTGATGAAATCTACTGACTTGTACTTTATTTTAAAAGCAGCCTTAGTATTTTGTTTCCATTTTAAAGATTGTTATTCTTGGAACGAAGTTAACATTTTTCAAGACCAGTGTCAGGTGTAACAAAAATAATTTCCTGCAGGGAGTTAACATTAGGAAAAGCAAGCACATCCTCGGGATACAAACTTTGAACTGCTAATCAAGTATGACAGGGTTAGGAGAAAGCAGCGAATCTTCCACACAGTAATGCTTTCACTGGTTCAGACCTACATGTGTTACTGGTTGAAATAAACTTTCAAAGGGAGTAGGAATTTTTTTTTTAAGTTGCCTGCAGTCAGACTTACACTAAATGAACATCTAACCCCCCATTCAAGAAGAACAACATAGATAAGTGGTGTCAGAATTTGTCATTGTTTGTATTTTAAATGTTTTGGGTATGTAGTCAGGCTTGCATATGCTTATAGTGATCTGTGCTAGTAGTAACCTTTCGGGACCATGATCCTGCGAAGTGTTCATACCCAGTGAAAAGCATTAAGTGGTTCTCTGGTGATTTTTCTGGCTATCTTAAAATTATGGGCAGTGCTTCTAAACAATTATCATTAATCAGCTTAAATTTCCTCTGGCTTAGGAAAATAATCTGATACAAGCGTATGAATTGCTTTGTAAACCTTTGAGGCAAAAGACACTGACTATTATGGTATTGTCCAAATTACAGCAAAGTTAGTACTTAGAGCTCAAAGAAGGCTGTACAGCAGCACTTCTGAGGAATTGTCTAGCTGTAGGAATATACTAAAATGAAATCTTAAATCAATATCAAATGTAACAAAAAAGTAGGCTTAGCCAATAGTTAAATATAAAGAAAAAAACCAAAACAAAACAAAACATGAGCATCCTGTGGATACTTTCCAGTTTTATTCTGCTGCCATAACACAGTCACACAGAAGAGTTGAAGTGTAACAGATCATGCTCTGCATTCAAATATTTTTGACAACATTTAAACAAATCTACTCAAAGAAAACATTCCCCAGTTCTTTATTTGCAGGGAATAAATTAAACACAAAAGAAAAAACACATACATGCTTGAAATAAATTTTAACACAGGTATTAAAAAAATTTTTGGGGAACATTAATTAAAGAATGAAGTCTCAGAACCAGCCTGATGTTCTTATACATTTCAAATGAACGTAAATTAAAATGGAACATACTTATTTTATTTACTCCTCAAACTTAAGTGCAGCACAACACAGTTTAAGTGCCTTGGCACCAAAATAATACACAAATAATTAATAGACTAGGCCATTGGTAAATTTATCATTTGTTATCCTTTTTTAATGCTGTAAGAAGTGTGCAGCAGCTAAAGCCAAATGTGACAGTATTTGTTCATGTCCATCTCTATTCTCTAGAATATAGCTTTTATCTACCTGCAGAGTTGTAGATAGATTTAAAAACCGGAGGACAAATTAACAGGATGGAAGCATATGCCTAAAAATCAAGCATGTTCACACAAACTGGACTGCAGAAATGGATGCTGAGCTCAACTTTGCAGACAGTTCCTACCTAAAACATGATGTGTTTATATGTTGTTATTAAGCTGACTGAAGTTTTGACCAAGGTCAGCTGAAGCAGCCACTGAATATAATTTTTTGGGCTTGTAGTAATAAGCTTTTTTCCCACCTTCAGAAGCTCCTCTCCTAATAATTTTGTCATATATGATAAACTGGGAAAGAAACTTCGAACTCAAACATATGCAGCTCTCAATCTCTCCTAGTTTTGCTATAAGTTGGCCTGTAATATATGAAATTAACAAAGTGCAAATGATTACCAAAAGCAAAATCTGATGTCTGATTATCTTTTATCATCAGAGGATTTTGTCTGCTTCTTATAGCCTTTAAATTACAATTTAATACTTGGAAATACTTTAAAACTGTACATACTAGCATTTATGTACAGGAAAATTATGAACAGTTACACTTTTCCTATTAATCCATATAATTCAGCTTTAAGAAGCAGAACAGAATATATATCTGAAAAACATCTAGTTATATAAACATCTTCACCTTGTAAATTAGAGATTAAATAAAGGTATTTAACAATATCATAGCTATTCTAAAAACAAAATATTAGGTATTTAAAAAGAAGAATTGCATTTATTCAGTAGGATTTTTCTTAAGGTTGCGTGTTGTTTTTTTTCCAAGGATACAGCTTTATGGAAATAAGCACGGTAACTCAAAAAACGTTTGCTGTGTCATTCTTAAATGAAGAGACAAAAAAAAAAGAAAAGAGCCTATGCATGAGAATGAGGGGGGAAAAGAATAAGTGCTTACTTTCCTTTCAGAAATCATGAGGTCTATGCAATAAAGTTATAGGGAAGGTGTGGGGGAAGAGATCTAAATGTTGGTTTGAATTTTTTTTCATTAATACTGTTTTAGTGGAACAGTATTACAACAGATATCCTGGTTGTGTCAGTCTTATTTCTATTGAAAAACATCCTATTTTCTTCCCATGGAAAAGCTATTAGATAGATGCTTAGCCCTTACTGAATTACTCCCTCAAGTTGTTTTTAATAATACTTTAATAATAAAAGAAAAAAAAAACTTCAAGTCAAAGTGCAAGCCACCTTGTTTCAGCCCTTCATAAAAGTGTTAATATTTTTCCTCATTCATCTTCACTTATTTTTTAAATATAAAAGCTGAATGAGCCGTTAGGAACTTACAGTCCTTCACCCCCCACTGTGCACTCATATCAGTAGGTAGTTCCTCTACTCAGCCCAAATGAATTTGGAAGTTTGTCTTCAAAATGATCATAGAAATCATAGAAATATAGTATTTTTAAGATGTCCTGTTTCTACATGATCAGAAGCACTAAGCAAATCTAAACTTAGCCTATTATTGTAACAAGAATTTCTCTGCATAAGTAGCAAAGTTTTTTAAAGTAATGTAAAAGTTAATTTTTCAAGTTTTTATTAGCTACAATAACCTTTCTATGATTGCACTGTAAACTGTTCCAGCCATCTGATTTAAAGGAACAAACTTGATATTCCAAAGCCCACTTAGCGGAGGCTAAGAATATCAAAAATATTATAGAAAAGGTTACTGATTGCAAGTGGAAAGAATGATAGTTGAGTTCCTTCCTACAATAATTCTAGAATTTGTCTAGGCTATTCAGGCTTTTGGGAGCAAGTTTGAACTCCTATGAGCATAATCAACCTGAGAAGCACAGTTAGTGGAAAATTCCCATTATCATTACTAACTGCCAGCATTTTTAATGCTGTATGTTAACTTAGTCTTGTTTTAATCTGACCTTCTGAAATGAAGGTTTACAATAGCATGACTTGAGCCATACAGAAGAGGACTCTCAACAAAAGTTCTGTTAGTTAAGCTGTGGCCAGGGACTCCAATGTCACTCTTGCTAGTAATACCTTAGCTGGAAAAAACCCCCAACAATATATATCATCAGGGCTTAAAAGGGGGGTGGGGGAAAAAGAGGAAAAGGAAGATTTTATCTTCAGGTACCGTATACTATTTAAGTACCACTTAGGAAAGAGGCAGCAAATAGGAAACTTGAAGATAGTTTTACCCACAGAAAACAATTAAAAATATATCTATAAACACAAAATTTCAGTACTTAGAATGCTGCTATTTTGCTTGCTTCTCGAACCCCACTCAAGTAAGCTCCTGTAACGGTCTGAGGAAAGTGCCTATTTGTGGCCTGTATTTTTAAAAAAAAAAAAAAAAAAAAAGTGAATTGTTTCTAAAACTATTAGAACAGATAGAATTTCAGTTTATAAGATCAGTTACCAACATTTTTAAAAGCCATGGAAAACTTCTTAGAATTTAGGAGAAAATATTTAAGATTTTTAGCAACTTCAAAATTGGCAAGCAAGTCAACTAGCAAAATTAGTAGTCTGTTTTGCCACCTGCACTTTAGTGGGGCAGGTAAGTTCTGTTCAGTATAGAATGCACCTATACCATCAGTAGCACGCATTTGTTATGTTACCCACAAATGGAGTAACAGAAAGACAGTGTGACTAAAAATAGAAGTGGATTGTATAGTCTTGTCATGTTCTGCACTTATTGGTTATGCAGTTCACTCCGGACCTGAAATATTTGGCAGACTTTCTATGCCCAATAATAATATGAATAAAGAGGGTTCTGTGTCAAAAATCAAGACACATTAGCATATTTGTGTAACAGAATATTTATATGCTACCTCTAGATTAATGGTGTTGGTTAGCGAAAGACATTTCTTATTTTTCATAAGAAATAGTTCCCCAATAACCTTAATCAACAGTAACAACACTTACCTCACCAGCAAAAAAAATTTTTCCGTGTATGTCTTCAGCTATAATGTCATAAGCTTCACCACTGCCACCTGTTTTTACAAAACTATATGCCATCTGGAGCCAAGGGTCTTTGCTCCATCGAGTAACAAAAAACTTCACTGGGTCAGGAACCTCCTGCATAATCAAAATAAAAGTTATGCACTGCAAAGAAAAGCTCATAATTGCATAGCTTTTTCTCATAAACAGTTTCTTGTAATCTTTAGAGTATGTAGTAGTATTACGACACAGATTAGATCACATTCCAGAATTAGATGCCAATTTTCTTTATTATACTACTAACCACAAAGATAATCTTGTTTGCTAGACTTGCCTGATGTCTGAAACATCACAATAGCACTGTCTGGATATTGTCATATACCTAGAACTACACATGAGAAAACAAAATTTTCCTCAAAATACATATATACTCTTGCAAACAATAAAATGCCAATATCAACATCATTCAACATGTTTGTATGTGTAATGTGAGCACTTTCCATCTTGGTAAGGCATGATGCTGCTTCTAGCTTGTTAAATCTGAAAATGTAATCTTCATTTTGGAGATAATTTTATTCCAATGGAGAAATAACATTACTTATCTAAGATCAGAAAATGAGCTGGCCTGAAAACTAGGTTCAGGGAGAAAACAAAAAACAGAAAGTCAGAGTGTCTGTAGCTAAGCCATGACAGTAATACTGTGTATTCTTTGTCACGTTGCAGCATGCAAATTCCATACAATTCTACCAAAAAGAGCCTGGATAACAATTGTATGAAGGCTTAGTCAACTACAGCTGTCTTACTCTTGAGGGGCTTGCGACAAGTATACAGAAGCACCCCTGGTTGCCTCTTACACAACATCTGGTATCAACAAACAGACTATTCCAATCAGGTAGCACATGAGAGACTAAAGCTCAAGCAATCAAGACAATGGCTAGCCAAGAATGGCGAGTTTCATGAACATCCCAGAAGAAGTTCTGGTACGCCCCTGGAAGCCATCTTGTCTTTGAAAATCCCGCTGCACTGTGGACAGATGACTGAAATTCACATACTGCTATAAACCAGAGACAGACATGAAAATCACTCTTCTAGACTAAAGTGGCACCAAAACCAAAGACCTGTGTGTTACCTCAACGTTCTCATGAGATCAAAATAGCAGGTATGTGGACTTACATTGCACATGATTGTGGTAACTGTAAAGCCATTACCAAAAGTATGTTTTCTAGGAAAAGTCGGGCTTTCAGATGCTGAAGCTTTTCCAAGACCATTAATCCAAACATCTGAACCATCAGTAAAACTTGAGAGATTACCCATGAACATTAACACAAGCATTCCTTGGGATCTAATTGCTCTAAGTAATTTAACTAAGGCATTACTGTGTATAGAGTGGAATGCAAATAACATTGGTGAGTGATAGTCTTCTGCTTGCCCCAGATTTCTCTGATTTTCATATTAGTTTTTATCTGGATGATGAGCTGGGGGAAGAAAAAAGGTAGAAATTTTTATCTAATGTTTTTTTACAGTCAGGATGTAGGGCCCTTGATAGATCATTTTGCCTGTATCTCCATCCCAAGACAGCTCAGGAAGGGTTGTTTCTTATTAGAAGAGTAAGGGATTTGTTTGGTTTGGTTTGGGGGATGGTGGTGGGAGTGTTTTAATTTCAGTTGTTTTTTTACATGGAGGGAGGGGGAATCACAATCAAATTCATCTAGCTTAAAGCTTTTATGATGTATTGGAAGCAGTGATGACCAAAAAAAAAAAGTTTGGAAAAAGTGACAGCTAAGAAAGAAGTGTATTTGTGTTACCTGCCTAAAGTACTGATTTTAATTAATTTTCCTTTCTAAAAGCACTTTAAAGGATGATAGTTCATTTCTGGTTTTCAACTCATTATCATTTTCCTTCAGACAGATCTAAGATACTTCAATTCACATTCTTCACACAAGAGACCAAACATTGTGGTTTTAGTGTATCTCAAGAGAAACATATTCTCTCAAACTGAGACAAAAAGAAAAATAGTTTAAAATGTCAAAGGTTTTCTTATATATCATGAAGTAACACAATCGAAAGCTTTACCTCTGTTGGCAAGTTAATTCATCTCAAGAAAAGAGGCTTCTCTTACCTGCTCCTTAAAGAGCTCTCGAAGTACAGTCATACACTGCTGCAGTACTTGTTTATCATCTAAATTCTTAATGGTTGTCACAGCATCTCCAGTGACCACTGACATTAAAATGCTTTGTTTGCCCTAAAAACAAGACATTAATATATGAGATCATTTAGAAATTATTAGGTTTTTAAGTATTTCTTGAAGAGTCCCTTTTAATTGGTATCGACAAAGAGACTTTCAGCTGGAAAGCAACTTCTGTGCTAGGGGAAAGTGGGTTTGATTCCTTAGAATAAAGGGTGCATATTCTACAGTATTGATGCTCAAATTACTAACATCCTCTGATGTCTTGTTCACAGATCTGTGTTACGGTCAGCCCCTTTTACAGCTTGCTGAATTAACTGAAAACTTCCTATCTGCCTATTTAAAGGCTACACCAAAAGATTTGACATTTACAGTGTTGTTTGTGACAGACCTCTTAAGCTCCAGTTCCATGCCAAAATTCCACCTCAACTGTACTGCAATTTCAAAAGGTGGCAACAAAAAGAATCTATTTAAGTACTAGTTAGATATATTTTGAATTAGGCCAATACTAAGTTCTTACCAGCAGATTTTGGCCCAAGAAATGAAAGCTCAGTTCTAGTGATGTTTCCTTCCACTTCAAGAAATCTGCTACCCTGCAGAAGTTTCAAAGATGAAGTGGTGACTATAGAATAGCACACAGGTTCTCAACTCCTTTAAAACAACTCTCCCTCCCTTGTTTATATAAGGCAATTCTTCTGTTACTAAACTCGATAGTTAGCAGAGAATAGCTATCAAGCAAATTAAGTATTATATCTAGCCTCTGCACAGCACCAGCACACTGAACCACATGTAGAATGAGCTTAAAAGTATTGAAGAGAAAACTTCTTTAAGGAAAGTCATATAGGTACATACAGCTACAGATAGTCTAGTAACAGCACAATCTTCACAGGATGGCTTCCTTTTGGAGTAAGCTATAAGGTTACAAAATGGCCTTTTAATTGCTGCCAAGTAGCAAGTAGCAGTTGTAAGAGCATGAAAAGGTATGATATAAACGTATAATGTGTCTGCTTGGAACTGGCGGGGAAGAGAAACATGATGTCAATGCACTGGTTTGAATTTGTTTTGAAATTCATGAGTTTGGGACTGACCCTACAGACCTCAGTTTCAGTCAAAACCTAGTTTTTGTCTTTTCTTCTGCCACTCCACATAGTTATTCAGGCTAGTGCAAGCCATGAAGTGTTAATAAGCCAGCACGATCTTTATAACAGGATTTTTAGCTGGTTTAAATAAGGGAACAGAAGTCCTAAACTGAAAGTGACTGGTAGACTTTTTCCCATATTGGTACATCTATAGTCAGGTATTACAAACATATTTTTAAGACAGTTTGAGAATAAAAGCATTAACTTGCTTGTATATTATTTTGTATCCAAATGTAGGAAAACATTCCCATTTATTACAATGAAGTATCAATCAGCTTTCTCTTGATAAGTAACACTGCTTCCACTTCTTTTAACAGTTGTGGGGGTGGGGGGAAGAAGAAAACTTTCATTTTTCCGTAATTATTGCACCTAGATTCCAAACTGAATTTCTGAAGGGCTAACAGAAAATGCATATGATAGCTAGCATATGATACCTCTGGATCCATGTCATAGAAAACACTAAAGAGCCCACGTTGGCTGGAATTGGGTGGAACATGACCAAAAAAATCAGCTCCTTGAATTTTACTGTCCCAAAATCTATAAGGAAACTGCAAGGCAATCTAGAGAGAGAGAGAGAGAAATGGAATTAAAGCATTTTATACCACAAAACTCATAACTGGATATGGTATATGATGTTCTTCTAATTCTTTTTCCCTTTTCCATTCCATTAGAGATAGCCAGTTCTGTAAGAGGGTCTCAACAGAGAATATATGGGCCTGTTCTCCAAGGGGGACAGGGAAGGGAAAAATACCCGCTAATCTCGCAAATTGCAAATGCGCAGACAGTATCAAATTCACAATGGAATTCACTATGGAAAATGCTCAAGAAATTCAGCAGAATTTTTACAAACCTAACGTAGAACTTAGTGATCCCCATCCTGCATATGGGGTTTCTAACTATTGCCTTTAAATTTCAACATTGTTATAATCCTGTTTCTGGCATTACTTCTGATACTGTTTTGTTCTAAGCACGTATCTTACTAGGGATCTTTTCAGGAGAGGCTGTCTTTTTGCACTGGGAGAGGGTAGGAGATTTTGCACTGGTCAAATACACAACTTTCAGTATTCTTCTGAAATAATTTATGTATTTATTAGGTTGAAAGGACCTGGAATAAGCGTATTATTAGAATTTTGGAAGATCTAAGACCATCATGAAGGCTTGCTCAAAATTGGGCACAAAACGTTTAAGCTGTGAAGTGATTCTGAAAACAATTTCTTTAAAAAAACCTATTAAGTTGGGAAATCTAAGAAACAGAAATGCATGTGATCCCCGATAGCATTTTGCTCTTCTGGGCTACTGTATACAAGTAAAACCAAATGCATGATAAATCCTGAGAAATACGCAGCAAAAACAACAGGGACAAAGCAGCCAATGTTTCTATGAAAAGAAAATGAAATATAATCTGAAATTACTTACCTTCTCAATGACTCCTGCTCCCAAACTATTAATGGCTTTAATTTTTTTTTCTGACAGTGGAGGATTAAACTGAATGGCATTTTTCTGAAGAAGGGCCAGTGGCACAGTCACTAATACCTGAAAGAAATAATTACAATCACAACAGTAGCAAAAGCTGAATACTGCACTTAAGCCTCACAGCATCCTCTTGACTATCTTGGATTATTCTTGTAGGATGCAGCATAATACTCACCACACATCTCTAGATCAGTGTCTGGTTTTACTCCCCCATTAATGGGAAACACATGCCTTACATCAGGTGAGAACAGATCCTGCAGTTCACTGGTTTTAAGTTGTAGCCTGTTGAATTGCTTGTATCAGAGTGGCTAACCATGCTACTAACTTTAATACCTCCTCTAAATTATAGTGAATGGCTTTCAGATTAACAAAACTGTCTTTTTGAAAGGAGAGAAGATGCTCATTGTTTTGGTTTGTTTTTTCTTCCTTCACACATCCCTTCTCTTTAAAATATGCTCAGTAACACTGTTGATGTCAATTCAATCTTGATCAAGCTTATGTATCATTTTAAAAATTACTAAAAGCTAAATTACACAGCATGAAGCAGGTGGGAATACAGGGAATAAGGGAGACTGAGAAATATGGGTTGTCAAGTCCTGCATACCAAAGGGAAAAAGATTCACATACTACATGGGGTAAAGCTGAGCAGGAAATGGAACCAAAAAACATAACCATCACTTCCAAGACCAGATAAAAATCTATTTGCTTTACATTTTAGTACTACCTTTATAGTGCTTAGTTCTTCAAATTAACTAGTACTCAAAACTCAACCTCAACGAAAAACAGGCTCTAGGACATCCAAATACAGGTCACTAGAATATATGAGTTTTCATCTTTGAGTGGGGAGAAATTGGACTAAATAGTCTTCTGGGGGAGAGGAGGCGGGGTTGGGGGGGAGACAAAAAGGACATGTAATGTGGTCAATACTGTTCTTTTGTTCCCTGAAATCCTTAATCTTGAAGCATATTTGGTACCTTTTGTGTTGTCCACACTGTTCCATCTGCAGTAGTGACCTGTACTTCTTCACCAGAATAGTCAATACTCTGTACCTATTGAAAGACAAATTGAAGAAGGTTATACTACAAAATCTACATATGCAATGCAAATTCAGACAAGAATAGCTAATATAGCACCAGTCTGCAAACTAGAAGTTGAAAAACACAGATTTCCAGATAAATATTGAAAGAAAAAAAAAATAGCCTCCATGGAAGCTGAAAAAGAAAAAGCATCATGATTCTAACATATAAGCTCATCATAGCATAATATTTAAGTACTGATAGTCCTCAAAGAGTATTTCCAGAGACACTGAAATTGTCCTCTCTTTTCTCAAAGACAAGTCAAAATAATCACAGGTACAGATTTGCCTGGTCCCAAAGAATAAAAAGATATGATTTGGTGCTTCAAAGCAATCCAAGACAGGCACTGCATCAACATTTTCCAGACTCACTGGGAAATTCAGCCGGATGTCCAGCCCTTCTGCCAATTTATCAATCACAGTAGAATATCCCACAGTTAGTAGAGTGTGATCTCCAGCAAACTGGGCAAAAAATTCATTGTGGTCCCATGAGCGTGCAGATACCTGTGGACAGAACATAACTAGCTGTCTCTATTGGTGAGGTGACATGGGTACTAGCAAAAGTCCCCCAGTTTAGAAGAAGCCACCCTAATTCCCTTCAGAAGTGGAAAAAAAAGTGTATCACCAGAATGTGTGGCAATGCTGACAAAAGCAAATGGCTTATTTACCTAAGGCCACTATACAGCATATGAATTGCTGGATTAAGAAATGTCATAATATGGGTTGGTCACTAGCAGGTAATGTATAGTTCTGCTTGGTAGAGAAAACAAGGAAAGCAGTACAAAAAGGCAGGTGGATTGTAGCGTATTTATTTCAGTTTTCTGTCTCTAGCAAAGAAGTCAGATTTTACAGCCTTAAGACTTCAAATAAAAATGGAAATATTTTATTCCCCAATATGAAGAGGAAAATAAGATACAAAAAAATCTCAATGGAATTTTTCTGTCACTTTGGAGGTTCTTCCATAATATCTTTCATTGACCTCCTCCCACCCCTGCAAACTCCTAGTTAGTACAATAGTGATATCGGTACTAAGCAATTGCCACTTAGCAGTGAAAAATCTGAAGCAATTCTCAAATTGTATTTTATTTCCCAATATGAAGAGGAAAAAAAAATCTCAATGGAATTTTTCTGTCACTTTGGAGGTTCTTCCATAATATCTTTCATTGACCTCCTCCCACCCCTGCAAACTCCTAGTTAGTACAATAGTGATATCGGTACTAAGCAATTGCCACTTAGCAGTGAAAAATCTGAAGCAATTCTCAAATTGCTATTCAAATGCCAATTCCTATCACTGCAGGTGCATTTACTTCGTATTTTGATTTTAAAATTGAAGGTAAGATAGATGTTAACATCTTTCTTATTTCCCCTGGGTGCTCATGAAGTGTGAAAGCTTGACGTATCAAAATATTTTCCATTGACTGCCCTGGTATAGCATTGTCTTGCAGATCTTTGTTACGTTCTTATGTGCTTCTCAGTTCAGATCAGATTTGTGCATCTGCACATATCAATCAGCTGTCCCACTACCATAGTACAGTTGACCCTAAACATCTTTAACCCAAGCAACAGGACTGAGTAAATAATGCACTACAAACAACACCATACTGTGATATTTCCTGAACCTGCTTGGTTAAAAGTGAAGTCGCGAGGAAAGCCAAGTATCACATAGTCAACAGAATACCTAGGAGTGGTGAACTGGGGCCCACCGTCAGGGTGTTGGAACACTTCAGAAGTTAAATGCATTTATTCTCAAGATACCTAGCAAGGTAGAGAAATACCTCAGTTTTTAAACACAGAACTGAGAAGCAGAAGTCACACACAACATCTGAGGAAGAGTAACTCTCCTGTGAATCCTACCACCCAGCATCTCAGCAAAATGCCCTACTCCACTGCACCATCTACTCTGAACTTCTACGTTAAAGAGGATGTCGCTGGAAGCATGTCATGAACTCCATCAGATTACCTAAGGCAGTGCTGGAGTCTGTGTCTCAATGCTTTTAAAGAACAGGTTAGGGATGTAGGAACAGCTTAGGGATAGCCGATTCTTCCTTTGGGGCCATGGGATGGATCAGATGACTTCTCAATGTTACTTCCAACCCTATTTTTTATGAAGCTCAACCACTTCAGAACACAGCTGTCAAAACTCACCTGAGAGAGATTGCTGCCACAGGCATACTCCAAATTACTGAGATGGAACTGTAGTACTTTTTCTTCCAGCTCACTGAACTGGATACCAGACTCCTGAATAAAGGCTTTATAGATCTCTTGTATTTTTTCTGTGAAAGAACATGTAAAATAAGAATATATCACGATTCATCAGAAGTCCTACTGCATTTCAATATGCCATTCTCTGGATCACAAGATTTTCAAGCTTATTGCTAAGTTGCACTGAGATGTTTTTTTTCTCATAGAAAAAAACCACAAGATCTTTCCGGTGATAGAATACAACTGTGTTGTTTAATCATAGTAGGTTTCCCTAGTAAAATCATCTTCTTCAAAAAGGAAACATACATAGCTTCAGGAAAAAAAGAGGTTAAAATGATTTAAAAGAAAAAAAAGAAACACACTGTGCAACAGCACAGCTGGGCTAGCAAATTGAGACAGGAGAGAAATTAATTGTTTAGCTATTGTCAATATACAGTTGAAGATTTTTCAAGGAAATACACTTCAAGTTAGTGCACAATCCTTGCAAATAAATCCGGCTTAATTTTTACAAAACCAAAATAGCTGAGAAATTTGATTCACAGTTCACTGAAGAACACAGGTGTTACTAATTCTGTCTTACAGAATCCACACTGAAAAGATTTGGGAGGCAGACATTTCTGAGCAAGTTATTTTTTTGTTGCTGAATGTGCTTGCATGCTCTAAGTGTGGTGGGAGGCGTTACCAATGGAGATGGGACTATTCTTGCCAGTAGAAGGCTTTGATCAGGCTCTTTTTTAGACAGATTAGTCAAAAAGTATAAGAGTTATGGCTAGCTATGGGCTGCTTCAGCAAGAAGCAAGTCTTTTGAACTGCTAGTGCCACTAGTTATACTGAAAAAGCTACCTCATGAAAACAAGATACTATATCAGAAGTCATACAGTATTATAAAAGCCTTCAAATTAGGCTTCCTTAAAAGTTACAAGTGACATTTTGGTCTGTGTGTATACAATAGTCAATCTCCCTTTGTCCTCCATAGAGCCAGATTATCACTGTTGGATTTAAGGTCAGATGTACAGCCATACACTTCTAAAAATGTCCGATGTAAAAGCCAATGTAACATAAAACTCTATGAACACAGCCAACATCTTCACTTTGCAATACATGTCCCACTTACCACCAAGAGGAACATCTTGATGTTGAGTTTTATCTTTTCTCCACTCAGATACGACATCTAGGATGGCATTGAAATGAAAGTCCATACGTTTATCAATAGTGGGATCTGTTATCCTTCCACCTTCCTGGATCAAGTCACATTTCTCCCCTAGTTTGTGCATTTTAATGCCAAGCTTAAGAAAAAGACATTTTATTGCTTTTTAAGTATAGAAAAACTACAGTGCCTAGCCTGCTCAAAGTCATTTAAAGTAAGATGAATCCCTCAGATTTAAGTGATGCCACTTAAAAAACATCCAAGACTTCAAATGATTAGTCAGATTAATTCAAAATCTTGTCCTTCTAGAACTGGAATACCAACAACCCTTCTATCCATTAATTGTCTACAAACTGTTGTTCCCCACTCTTCCATCCTTTTCTTTATTGGGATTCCCAGAAACCTCATCTCCAATTTTCCTATCAGACCAGGGTCTGCTACAGAGATGTTGGGTCTGGTAATCAAACACAATGAACCAGTCTCCTTCATTTCTACCTCACTTTATTCTCTAAATCGCCATTAAAATCAGTTCTTTTCTACAACTTTCTGGTGCCTGATGCCCAAACAGTTCCCTGCATTCAGGAATTGACAGGACGTTGCTTGCCAGTAACCGCCAACTTCACTAACGAACAAGCAAAGAAAAATTATTTGGAGTTAAACCTAGTATCTTGCTCTGCTTGTCCAACTTGTATCGAACATACAACAGAGCTAAGTCAGAATAAAGACAGAGTCAGCCTAGAGAAAATGGCAGAAATAGAGCTCTAACTTCTTCCTAGGGCCTTGTTACTTAGGGTGCGCTCCAGGGTTTTTCACATATCCTCACATCTCTCTAGGCTGTTGGTCGCCACTGCAGATCTCTTCTCAAGATACAGATGTACTTTGAATGAAAGTTGACATCAAATGACCGCAAAGGGATGGGCACCCAATGTGTATTCAGAAGTCATTGCTCTTCACCTCATAAGTAAAACATGATTTTAAAAAAAAAAAAAAGTTTCTTCATGACACAATAGAGCACTAAACAGTTAAAACAACATGGGCTGGATTTGCATGCCTCTCTGAACAAAATCCATACCCAAGTTCCACTTGGAGAAATTCAGCTTCCTGCCCCCAAAAAACCCAAACCAATAAATAAATAAATCGAACTGCAGTGTACTTGCGTAAGTAGTTGTTATACATATTCATCTTAACTTGTGTGGAATTGAACTAGAAATACAGAGGCTGAGCAAAGGCAAGTCTGTCATAGAACTATGTATTACAACACCACAGCAATAGCCTCCCATAGTAAACCTCTCTCAGCTTGGAAGGAAGTCTGCCGGGGACTTTTTACATTACTATCTCCAGAAAAGGAGAAAAAAAGTGGTTTCCTCTGGTTCTAAAGCTGGAGCTGCCTTGTTTTTCTTTACATAATGTGCCCGAAACCATTCTATAGCCCTTCTCTGTCCCCAACTGTTATCAAAGATATAATAGCAACACAGAGTTTACTTAGAATGCAGAACAGTGTTTTAATCATGTCATGAAAAAGGACTCCCACCCTTACCCAGCCAGCTGAACCTGGCTTAAATGACAATTTTTCACTAGTGATAATGCATGACCACTGCAGGGAACCCACTTGCTCACACATTAGTGCCATTGGGTTGTTGACACATCCATTGACGATTTGTGCACCTCTTCCAACAGTGACTCCTTTGAATGTCTTATCGTCCCACACTCGGCCACCAATTCTGTCTTTAGCTTCTAAGACAATGACCTATGAGACAATGCAGCTTAGTAAATTGTAAGATTTGGTTATATTAAACATATCTGTTCAACTCCAGAGCAAAGGGGAAAACAAAACAAAAAAAACCCCCAAGCAACTCAGCAATGCTAAAGATCTTAACACTATTTTCATTTGTGGATATAGTTAATTTATGCATTTAAATTGTCTTTTAAAGGTTACCCTTTGGGACATACACATAGGAAATAACTGTTACTTTAAGAAACAACTTTAACAAAAATAAGCCTTCTTTTTAAAAAAGCTGAAGACCTATTCAGGAAATCTCAAAATTGGAGTTTAAGGCATGCTACAGGCTATTAAACACAATGATCTGGGTGCACTGTCCATCTGAGGAAGTCCATATACCTTTCGGAGAAATTTATTCCTGGGATATTCCAAGAAAACCCCATTCGTATGTATTTCCACCATTCATACATACCTCCTTCAGCATCCACTGCTTGTCACAGACAGACACAGGATACTGGACTAGATGGATGTCTGACTGAATATGTTTACCCTTACTTACTTATATTATCTTTTTATTTTTAGAGAAAGTCTTTTTAGAGAAACTCCATCTCTCCAGAACAGTAG